TAATATGATTGATTGATTTCTGGTTGCTTACCGTCCAATATAACAACATATACGTGTACCAGACGGCAGTATGGATCCATAGTTTACCTTAGGTTAATAAAAACTTAAGATACATGTAGTTTAAGTATGAGGTAAACGAAACGAATGATGATCTTTATGAAAAGTATACTAATTAGTATAATTGTTATGTCCCTGATGATTTAGAAGACAACCACATGTATGATTCCTGGTAATATACTGTATTTTGTATTGATAATCAGGATTTTAGGACTATTACACTGTATACGGCTAAGTTTTCATGTATATTTCGAATAAAAAGCAACGCCTTATTCATTAAACAACTTCCGTACAAACAGATACTGTATGGAAAGAGAAAAACTACATAAAAAGGGAATCTGTAGATATACATATTTACACATATTACACGGTTAAATGGTTAAAGAACTTAGCTCCAACAAAGACATCGTTCAAAACTTGTTTCACTAAACAAACTGATATAATATACGAAACTTAAACATACATAAACTTAAATTGCTTTTTAGAAAATGTTGAACTATTCGAAACACAAAGATTTGTCTACCCCAGACATAGATTGCCTTAGCCGTATTTGGCATTTTATTCTATCTTTCTGTTTTTAATGCTCTTCAAATTCGTATTTTATTTGGCCTTCCAACTGTTTTGATTCGAGCGCCACTCATTGGTCTTATGCAGACTAAACGCGCGTCTGGCGTTCGGAAATATAAGCTTGGTATCTTTGATGAGTTTTTAAAGGCTACTACTGCACTTGAATCTTTCTAGCCAAATTTGAAACTTTTTCCAGTTGTTTATCAATACGCATCCGTTATTGTTGTTTAAGAACATTGTTCTGATTGTTTTTAAAGAATATGTACATGTGTGCTTTTGATTTAGAACTGTAATAATACTTTTTGAAAATAATGAATGAAATATTCAAATGCACATGCATGTACTATGTGTTGTCTAGACAAACTTATACACTTTCTGATACACAATTTGACTCGGAGGCATTGGACCCGCCCCTACCCCCTCCTTAACAACAACAACAACAACAATAATATTGACTTAACCAAGTTAACTTGTCGATTATTTGACCAACGAGAAACATTAAAATGTCTTAGATTATTCATATGTTCATGCAAATACACACATTAATTCCAGACATATGCAACTTTAACAATGATATTGAACAGCATCGCTTAGTTCAGGAATAACAGTTAAATCGCCAGGCCCTCCCCTTTTTCGAAATATATCCTATTCATTGATTTGTATGTCTTTTATTTGCAATTTTCCAAAGAAGTAAGCAATACATTAAAGAATTGACAGTGCCATGAACAATAGATATAAGCATAAAACCCTACCATTATTTACTTTATGCACAGTTATTCAAACTGGCGCAAGACATTTTGGCTAAATCATAAGCGTGACTATGGTATCATTTGGGCTAAAATTTTCGTAGTCCAGATTACATTTGGGCTAATTATTATTCTTAACCTGTACAGGTAGATTACAGGTATAATTTATCAGTATCAATATTTGATATAAAATATGTAAGATATTCAATCAAAGAAAATAGAAATACAACCTTCATAAAAATCCTGTCATGAGAAAACCTAGTGTGAAAGGTTTTACACTATCCAATGGAAATGAGTTGACAGTGGAGGTCAGCCAGTAACACAGTATCACAAGAATACACTCTTTAAAGGTTGTTAGATTTAAAGGACCAGAACTAATCTTTGAGCAAAATCTATTGAATGTACTTTTATTTATATCTTTACATAGTTTAACCAAAAGTTAGTGCTGTAGAGATTTGTCTTTCCCAACACCCTACTTTCACAACCCCGTGGTGAGAAGGGCACTGTCTGGCAAACGGAATGGGTACATAAAACAAGAACATGTTATAAATATAATGTATGCTAATCTATTTCATATAGAATATTGATAAAAAATTGAAATATAGATATTATTCATGTATTTTACCTTTACTGGGAGGATGGGCTCAAATGTCGACTTCATAGTTGAGCCAAAATATCGACTTGCCATTGGCCCAAACGTAGAATATTTTTAGCCCAAATGTTACATAATAAGCCCAAACTTGCATTTCCCATTCAAACCGCTTGTGGTCTCTTTGTTTTGATATTCTCTGTTTTCTTTTTTATGCCGAGTTATTGTCACGTGATATCAATGTCTCAAATATTGAAAATGTTTAGGATTAAGTCATATTAAACTTCAGATGTTTGAAAAAGTACCTAGACATGTTCAGCAAAGAAACACGTTCAATGCACAGTGTCTAGTGTCTAAACATACCACATATTTTTGTGTTTAGAAATTAAACGTTTTCCCAAGCACAAAAGTTCGCAACACGTTTAAAATATAAGCACAATTTTTAGAATGTATCTTCATACTTTCTATGGAAAATTCCATGCCAAATGATTGGTGTTTTTTGCATTGAACATGATTTCTTGGAAGAAGACACATTACATAATCAATTCAACGCATAACCGTTCTTAGTATATCTATGCCCAGAGGAATACATTCATACTTAAAAAGCTTTATTTATGCCTATTCTGCAGACGATATTAATTGCTATTGATCATTTCGTTTTGCCCCACGCTGACATTAATATCATCTGTCATGTAATACTGACTCATAAGTTTCTTAAAGATGTCTGAAAATAAATAAGAATGCATAAAATAAACATCGATAACTGAAATTTTACAAACACCACAACAGTTGTTAGTTGCAGCTTTGACAGCTAGTCCTCACAAACACATTCTTTTACCTGTAAAAGGTCAACTTGAATTTGAAAAAGGTGATATATAAAAACTGAATGGGGATTTTTACAAACATATGTTATAGTTCATGTTAACATTGAGCAAAATCCATATTATATAATTAGCCATTAAAGGCTCCGTGATGACGAAATGTAACAAAATAAACGAAAATATATGGTTATGGCAAACATCAACCAACAACCACTCCTGGAGTACAAATTCTTGGCTATGGACATGAACATGAAAAATATGGTGGGGTTAAACATTTCCAACCCCTACCCCAATAAACTGGGGTGTAACAGCATAATATAGGAACAAACTAAAATCAGTGGGAAAGATCAATACTAAAAACAAAAATAGACAAAAGATTCAAATTACCGATCCTAGAGAACACACTGTCACTGGAAGCTACAATTAAACGATATATTTCAACTAATGAATAAATGATGTTTTTTTTTTCCAGACGAATTTTATTTACAACATTTCTGTCTTTAGGGCTATCTGGAGCTTAGCGTCCACGTCCTTGCCATTTGGTCTCTAGTAGATGATTGTCTCCTAGGCAATCATACCAACTACCCTTATAGTCACATGTTGTTTTGACACTTGTCTTCTGTTTAAACCGTATATTGACCTCTAAATGAGTTTTATGATTTTATCTGGTAGTTTTTTTTTGTTTTTGTTTTTTTATCTTATTGACGTATAAAGCACACCGCACATTTTTCATATCAAATAAAAAAAAGACTTCATTGGATTAAAACGGGCATGCTTCATACCTTGTTTATATTGTGTAGACGAAATATGAAACAACCAATTGACAATTTTATCAGTTCCGATTCAATGCTTTCTGTTTTTATTTTATTAGTCAAATTCTTTAAAGTCAATGCAATTTAGAATTCAAAAGTGATAAAAAAAAATAACTCCAGTGTATATGAGTGTTTCTTTCGTACATACTTTTTCTTCTCCAAATATTTAAAATTGTTTAAATGATTTCTCAGATGCTACGAAAGTAAACGTTTTTGACCTTCGGTGTCGTAACGTTAAATACATTACACTGTTTATTGTTATGGTTAAATATTGGTTATGGATACATTGTATATGTTCAGTTGTTTACAGATCGTAGATGTTTCTACACTAACATCACTCACTCACTGCATTAACTAACTTATCTGATATCAGCGGTCAAATCTTACGTTGTATTACATACGAAATTAAATAGATTTGGCGTCTGTACCAATGTTTTATAAAACCTTCATTAGTATTCTGTTAACAGTTTGGTCAGTTATTTTATACTTAGAGGCTAATGGATGACATAAGCTCCCGAGATCAATGCTAATCACCAATTACACAACTCGTATACATAAACGGCATCCTATTATATTAATAGAGGTTCTCATACTGTCATAATCTCTTAGCAAAATATGACGTTGCTTTTGGTTTCGTCGTTGTAACGAGGTACAATAAACCTGGACAGAAAATCAACATATCTTAACACCCAGTTTTAAATAGTTCATGCATATTCAAGAAGAAATTAAATAATTGATCAATCAGATAGGTTATAGAAAGTAAATCGTTCCGGATGAAATCTTGGAAATTGGACTGCAACTGGAATAAAAGGGTAAAGGACTGAAATTGTACCTTGTGATAGAGGTCCCTATGAACCCCTGAAAAAGTTATTTATGGGGATCTTTTCAAATGTTAAAGACATAGCCAACGTTCCCACAATTTTTATATGTGAAACAAACGAATAAAAGTATTTCAATCCAATGCAAACTCTTCTGTTACCTGAAGAATTGACACTGCATTAATGAAAACAGTAAGCCAAGGTCATATTTCAACGTTGAAATAAATCTAGAGAGAAAGAGAGAGAAAAGAGAAATATGAGAAAGACATAAAAAACGTCCGCTTATAAAGTAAAATGATTGGATTCGATTTGCCTTTACAACAGTGTCGCCAAGTTGATGCTAATGTATTTTTCTATCTTGTTTCCAGTCAGACTGACATGATAGAAAACGTTTTAAGGAAATATTTATTTACACGTTCGTCAATTCTGTTGTTTTGTTTTGTCCAATGAAATCACATCTGAAGATTAGGCGTAATTGTTCTCGCTATGTCACGATAGAATAGAATTACAGAATTTGAATGTATAACGAACGTGTAAATGTTTTCGGAAAATATAATGGAATTTGAGAAAAGCGATTCGATTGGAATTCAATATTTGGAATCAAATACTGTTCTTCAAAATACACTTGTTAGCAAAAATAACGCATTTGTGAAGTAATGAGTGTTTGGACTAGACTTATATGAGGTAAATAATATTCAATCCTTCTTATTTTTTTTTTCATTTTACGACTTAAAAGTTTTAAACCTTTATATTCAACACAACATAAATTGGAAATTGTTTTGAATATAATTTGAAAATGTTCTTTTAATAGAAAAGGAAATAATTAACTTCCTGCATAGAAATAAGAAGATGTGATATGAGTGCCAATGAGACAACTGTCCATCCAAGTCATAATGTGTAAAAAGTATCAATTATTATAGGTCAAAATACATGTTTATTTATACAATTCTTATCAATCAAAGCCTAAGTGAATATTCGTACATGTATTCAAGTTAATTACCATTTCCTAAATAAGCATCCTATACTTTGACAGTAATAATGCCATTTACAAAGCAGCAAACTGGCGGCATCTCTTAATAAATATTGCCTTGAAGATTATAAATATACTTATATCTTTGCATTTCGTATTTTTGGTAAATTATGGACAACCGTGTTACTTTATTGGCTGGGTTGACGGGCGGCTGGCGGGGAAAAGTGGGTACCAGTTTTGTCTAATCAACTCCTCCTCCAGTTTTCAACCCAGATCTTTGAAACTTCAAACAAAGACGGAACACATATTGTGAACATGCTCTCATGGAGGAATTTTACCCAATATTTCAGAAAGGGGAACTTAGTAATTTTCAGCAAAAATTTACGAAACATGGTATCAGTTATGTGTAATAACTCCTTCTACAGTTTTCAACACACATTCCTGAAAATTCACAGAAAGCTAAGATTACACAAATGCCGACATTTTGCAGCAGAAATTGTGGGATTGTTTGAGGATTTATACTTTATCAAAAAAACCATACCAATCGATCTTATTAATAGGCGATTATGAAATCGAACAACATTTCCTATCTATATTTGTGAGTAGGAAACTTCTTAGAATCTTTTATCTGTACAGTTAGTTTTTCAGTTGTCTTTTCATAACTGTTCTATTTGTTTTCTGGATTTTGTGTAAAAAAATCACACATACGTCTTTAAGTGGGTTAGAAAAAGAACGAAGACAACAAAGGGACAATGAAAAATGATACGTAGAAGAAAACCCATAATAGCATGGCAAAAATCAAAACTACTACTAGGGGTGTTTTACGACCGTGACTGCCCAAGAGGGTCTCGCTCGACGAAAAAACAGACTCCAAAATACTACACAGAACAACTAAAGACTGAGCAACAAAAACACCACCAAAGTTGGGGTGATCTCATGTCCTCCGCAAGGGATAGCACATCCTGTTGTAGCATCCCTCGTGTTGTTCAACCTTCTCTTTGGCGTCTTCCATTTGTGTCGTCATTTGCTATTTGCTGCTGCACTTAGATGGGTAATAACTGCTTATAATTTGGTTTACCTAACTGTTTTATTTTCCAATATTTGTAAACCAACCTAAAAGTTGCTGATTGTTTACATAATATTTTGTTTGTGTGTCGATCGTTTTTTGTTATAGTGTTTTACTCGACCTGATTTAGGTTTCTAGATATGACGTTTTACACTCGACTTCATGGCACCTACTTAACCTCTCCGCATGCCACTAGTTTATGCCAACCTTTATAGCTTTAAAGGTTGTTTGCAGTGTTCTTAAGATGATTGTTTGTATATATATATATATATATATATGAGTAAAAGGAGTTTAGTGTATACGTCAATAATACATTCAAAGATACGGATCGTCCTTTATACACTAGTATTTTCATTGGATTTTTTTGGAGATTTCATGTCAGGTCTCCTTTAAATGCATGCAGCCAATCATTTTTTCAATGTTTTTGTTTACGTTGCAACTACGACTTCGTTACACTATATGATTTGTATACTATTATAGACACGATGTGTCGTCAATAAGTTTGTGATTGCTGTCTTACGCTCTTGGATCCACGCTTAAAAATGTGGAAACAATCCTTGTTACTTTAACGAGTAGCTTAATTTGTCCTAAAGGATAGATCTTACCAAACTGTGACAGGTTTATCGATATCACCACGAATGTTTAATTTCAAGTCAGTATAATTGGCTACATACAGTTCAGAAGAAAATCTGGTAATATCCATTGAACTGTTCCATCCTGATATGCCTAATAAAAGAGAAAAAAAAAATTTAAAATGAATTTACCCTTTGGCAGAGTTTCTCACATCCGATTATTGTAAAATTGCTAAAGCGCAACCATGCCGTTTTCAAGTAATGAGCTGTCTACTAGGTTTCCGTACCAGTAAATTGTTCACTGTAACTGAAAATGACTTTAGTATATAGGCAATTCAATAATGTAATTATTCATGGAAAATTACATAAATGTTGTCTTTGTTGTATTTCAGACGGAGTTTTAAGATGGAAACGAAGATAATTATTATCATTTTCCCGTTATTTACAAGTAAGTAAATTCGCTTTGTATTTTCAATATTTTATGGAATGAATTCTAATAGTGAATTCCAGTATTACAAATTTCAGCATTGCATTATTTTGTGAAAGATATTTTGAACATAATTGTTGCTGTAAATAGCTCTCAAACTGATAACGTTTTCTAAAGAAAACGATTTCTATGATTCTTCTTTTTGAGTTTTGGGAGGTGGCTTTCCTGGTGTGGAACTTGGATTTCTCTGATCTGATGCATAATGTTTTTTTATGTGCTACCTTGACAACGTTCAATTTCTGTATGTTACCTGTGGGAATAAGGTTGGTAGGTAAAATATGGTCGCTTTTAAAAAAAAAAATCTTACAAAATCAACCAAACATGCATCAGCCATTTTTATGTAATGATAAATTAAATTTATACATGAATGTTTCTATTTGGACCGTTTTGCGATCTTCCATTTGCAATATCAGAGCAACAGGAAATGTTGGGCTTAAAAGTCAATAGAAATTTAATATTCATACCAGATATTGCAAACAAATTATACATTAGATCATTGAAAAAAAAACGTTTGTTTATCCTGAATGTAAATAAGTGTATTGGTAACGCATTATATTTAAATGAACTGTTGAAGAGGGAATTTCGAAAAAAAATATCCCAACGGGTCTATATTTAATCGTTCACCGTGATTGCATTAGTAAATATATAAAAAAAAGTTAAGAGGTAGCTTTATAAAATTTTTAAGTATATTACTACTGAGAAAAAATAAAAAAATAAAGGGAAATGGTGGAGAATATAGAAATAAGAAGATGTGATATAAGTGCCAATGAGACAACTCTCCATCCAAGTCACAATGTGTAAAAAGCAAACAATTATAGGTCAAAGTACGGCCTTCAACACGGAGCCATGGCTCACACCGAACAACAAGCTATAAAGGTCCCAAAAATGATCAGTGTAAAACAATTCAAACAGGAAAACCAACGGTCTAATCTATATAAAAAACGAGAAACGAAAGGCTTCATTTGTTTCAATAATATGAATCGGTACATATTACAACTACTGAGAAATCTATGTGTAATAACAACGCTCTCATATGTATAGTGGCACTATTCACAATAATTATAATTTGATGCAAGGTGGACAATTGTCATGTATTGTTACACATGTCGACATATGTAACAAGTACCTTAAATGACACCAGTATCGGTTTTGGTCATATCGTGTGGTCGTATTAGGTCATACAGTTGAAGGATTAAAATTGGAGATAGTCTTTACCTCTCTTGTCATTTCATCTCCATCTACATTCAAAGGATTAATTCAGTCATCAGCTTAACAATGTTCTTTAGAGTAGACAAATATACAACATCGTCATTATTGTTTAAGACAAGAATGCTTTAACACAAAACTTAGAGATGCCTATTTTCGATGCAGATTTGTGACGACTTTTGTCGTAGGACAGACTTAATTCGAACATTTGTCATAAGACAGTTTTGTAAAACAAGCCCAGGACTTACCGGTTTTTTTTCTATCTTCATCTATTGCACGTAAAGATAAAAAAAGAGTCAATTTGTACCGAACACACTTTCGAATTGGGATAATTGTCAAAAGTGATTGGCGAAAAGTTTAATCAAATGGAACAATAACCGAAAATACTCCAGATCTTCTTAAAGACATCTCTATTGGCTTCTTTGTGATGCAAAAGTTACAAATAACAGACGATATCTGACATGCAAAACAAATTTATTGTAACCAAAGCTTTCAATAGCTTCTTTAATGGGACGAATTACGCAATATTCTGTAATTTTACTAACAAAACCAGGATAGTTTATTATCAACAGGTTGAGTAATTTGAGCTTGCTTTATGTAACTGTGAGCATTCTTTAGTACGACATAAATGAACAAAAAATAAATTGTGTTTTGATATAAATAATACCGTTACTTTAGAGTTGAGTGCTTTTCGTGTACTGTTTTTACTGTTCGATCTTTTGTGTACGTTTTGTTAAACTTCGGATCAGTATTAAAAAGGGAGGGTTGAGATCGAACATAAAATAGTTTAACCCCTCCAAATTTGTATGTGCCTGTCCCAAGTCAGAAACCCCACCAGACATGGTCGTTTGGCCTATCTTAATGCGTATCATACATATTGTCTATTGATTAAAACTCTATGTTGCTCTCTAGATGTCTTGTGGTTATTCTTTTGTCATTGGGTTGCTGTCTCAATGTAAGGCGTATACTCCACACCTTCTTTTATTCAGAACCACAAGGGTTGACTTTATATAGAAAAATGGTCATACATTGGTTTTCTATCGACCGAAAGTAGAATCCTTTCCAAAGTGTGCGTCCGTTTGACTCTGTTAGATGTATAAATACGCAGCCATGTCCGACCAAAACGGGGACGTTAAATCCGCAGCCTTATGTAGAGAGAGTCCAATATACCCTTATTTTCGAGTAGCATTCTAAAGTTCCCGCCCATCATCCAGGTCGACCCTACATTACAGGGCATACGTATTGTATTAATTGTCAATTTGTTCTCTTCCTCAACATAGATGAAGTATTTGCCACTGGACGTAAATCAGACTACAAACAATCAATAAATTAACCTATTTATTCAGTACACAAAATAATTGAATTTAGATGTTACTTTTGTTTAAAAAAATCAAACTTCTGTACGAATTTACCTAGGGCGCATATCGAAGTTTTCAATATAACATTGTCACTGAAAGAAAGCTGATGCGCGTAACTTAGTTTACTAAATTCTCAAGGTAGATGGTGCCGAAAACCGGTGAATAGAATTTTTGTATCTATAAAGTTAAGATCCAATCCGAATGAGTTTGGTTGCAGATGCTCAGGATTTTCAACATTATTGTATCTAAACGATAATGTCATTACTAATCTAGAAATAAAATTGTACATGTTTAAACGATTTAAGACAGTAGCTAACATTTGCCAAACTTCACACGAATTGATACTTATAATGCCTCCAATTTTCCATCACTTTGAATATCCTTGACATTGAAAATAAATATTGATTTTAATCTAGACCTACATGGTTCAAAAGAATATTTCTTCATAATTGCCGTAAAATACACAACTTTTTTTAATGAAGGCAGGGAAACATCTTTTAACCCAAAAACTTTTATATCTTAACAATTTTGAAGTCTTGATCCTCATTATCCATTACAAAAATAAATGGAAAATTTCTAAATTGAAAGAATAGAAAGATCTCTGTTAAAAAAGAATGTAAGATAATCAACAAATATTTACGATCATCTCCGAAATTCAGTTATTAATAGAATCACGACTTTAATTTCGAATATCTTTGCATTTTCACGATTTAAGTAATTTGTTCACATTATCCAATTTTGTAAAAGATTGGGTATTTTAAATATAAAAATCCTTACCAATAAGCAAAAATAGTTAAAAAAAATCTGTCAATTGACTGCAACGGGAAAATTAAAAACAACATTCTAGTCTATTTCCGCGTTTTCAGTCATATGATACTAATAACTTTGTGGTACGCACAGCCGCATTAACCCCTCTTTCTACACCCAATGTGAACCTTAAGGTTTCCGTGAATTAACATGAACATCTTTCTTTGGCTACTTTGCTGTACAAAGCTGTTCATGGTTTATAAGGGTACTCCCTGTTATCAGAAGGGGAATCAACGTCTAACTTGAAGAAAAAAAACGAACTTTTTTAGACATTCAAGTACACTGTCAGTTTCGAGAATCTTCAAAATTTAGTTGCCCTTGTCCTTGAAAAGTCATAAGTTTCAGTTTAATACGAGCATTATAGCATATTCTTGCTTTGAACATATACAATTTATCTCTTTGAGGAAAATTGTGCATTGTAAATCATGGAATCAGGAACATTTTTAAAACAAACAATTAAATAACCCGTTCCAAATTGTGAAAATGATAAAATATTGTAGTTACGAATTCCTTCGTCTTCTATGTTGAAATGCTGCCAACTGAAGTTATGCACATTTTCTCTCCCCTTCCCAAATTGAGTAAGAGACAGGATGATTTCATATCAGCAAGATAAGTACCTTGAGCTTGCTTTCGGTAGCTGCGATCATTTGTTTATTCATGAACTTGTACTGGTGTTTTTGTTATCTATCATACCGGTATTATAAAGTTAAGAGTTTTTTGTACTGATTTTATTGCACATTCTTTTGTTTACCTTTTGATATTCCTATGGTCGAGATTTAAATGGATAGGAAGTCGGTTTAAAAGAAAACTAGTTTAAACCTACTGCATGTTCATGTATGAAAATTAGGAGATGTGGTATGACTATCCATCAAAGTTAAAATGAAGTGGATGCAAGCAATTATAGGTAACCGTACGGCCTTCAACAATGAGATAAACCCATACCGTATAGTCAGCTATAAAAGGCCCCACTTGAAAAATGTGAAAAAAATCAATTGAGAAAACTAACTGCCTTATTTATAACAAAACATTTAATCATCATCGCCTCGAGCAATAGTTGGTATCTCAGGAACAACAAACTTGCTATTATTCTCATAACCAGTCAATAGGTGTATATTATTCACTTTGCAAAATGCTATACATGCATTTGAAACCCTATAATGACCCTAAATGTATAATTAATCATCGGGGTGATGAATCGAAATATGTGTAAGCCCCAATGACGTCAATTCAAATCAGTAACTAGCCATACTCCTTCGACAGCAAACATTGACAAATTTGTTACTTTTTGATGTAAATAACAATCCACGCGATTGATGCAGCAGCTATTATTGTGTTTATGTTAATTTGATGGGAATCTATTGGTTTGATTATACCAATCTATCTAATGTTTTGAAAGAGTTACATGTAAGGGTTATGTATAACCATTCATGTGATACATACAATTAATCCGATGGAAAGTTGCCACATTTTTGTTAAACGTAATTTTATAATTTAATTCTGTTCGCCTATATATTTTTTTTGTTTTAGTTGAATTTGAAACTTACAAAAAATCCCTTGTGACATAAGTAAACGAGATGAAAAGCTTAGATACATAATATGAATTGGAAAAAAATAGCTCTTTCTCGTAAATATGACCTTCTGATTAAAGCGTTTTTAGATTTTATCATGTGTGCAATTCAAATTTAGGCTCTGTGAATGTTGACAACATTTACCAAATAATCTAGGTTTAGAAAAAAATAAAAGAAATTATTTTTTTTTAAATAATGTCCAATTTTATGAAAAAATATTAGGGATTTACTTCAAATGAAAGAATTGAGTCCTATGAAAGGTAAAGACTTATAAGTAACAAAAAAAATATAGCCAGGTGTCATAAGTAACAATGAAAGATATAGCCAGGTGTCATAAGTAACAAAAAAAGATATAGCCAGGTGTCATAAGTAACAAAAAAAGATATAGCCAGGTGTCATAAGTAACAAAAAAAGATATAGCCAGGTGTCATAAGTAACAAAAAAAGATATAGCCAGGTGTCATAAGTAACAAAAATAGATATAGACAGGTGTCATTTAAATTGACCAAATGATTTATTAAGAATCGTATCATAAGCACCTGAGATCACCTCCGGTTTTTAGTGGGGTTCTTGTTGCTAAGTCTTTAGTTTTCTATGTTGTGTTTTGTAAACTATTATTTGGCTTTTGGTCTTTTTCGTTTTACCATGACTTTTTCAGTTTATTTTCAACTAAAGAATTGAATTCTCCTTAGGTGTCTCTTTTACATTTGATCCTTGAGAGGTTTTGAAATTCACGAATATCAGCCGACTACTTATAACAGAAACGTATTTTATATCAAAGTATTATGGAGAAAAAATACCTCACAAGTTCGTTTTTTTTTTGGAAAGAAGGGTTAATGTACAATGTAATGCCAACCAAAGACAACAAAATGCCTTATCAGTTTGTACTTTTAAGAGCATTAAAACTAAAATATTATTGAAGCTATAATATACACTGGCTTTTTTTAGATGTTTCTTATTGTGTGAATATTTTGTTAAATGATAATAATAATACTTTATTCCAAAAGCAAGTACAGTATAGGATATATATACAATTTTTGACAAATTAATTATACATGCACCATATCACATAAACAGACATCTACTAATAAAATGTTAACTACATTGAAATACATAAAAATCACTCTTATACAATACAATTTTAAGTATAACGCAGAGTATGAAGTTCATAAAATTGTTAAAAGTTAGCAGCGTTTCTCAGCTTATTTTAAGTATTTACCAAGATTGTTTAGTTCTTTAATATTTTGCACAGATAACAATTGTATCAATTTATAATTGATAAAAATAAAACAAACCATACCTAAACGTCTTAGTTTCATAAAATTGACAAGAAACCGGAATGTAAACTTTATGGTGGTTTTCTGAAAAATGAGGTTGTTGCTGTCCTTTTCAGTCGTATATATACATTTTGCAAATCCGGTGATCTTTTAAAGTTATCATTTCAAAATGTATTTTAAGGTAGATAGGGTGTCTTCCTCCATCTTTGATTTTGTAATACCTGAAAACAATCGGTCTAGATCTTTAATAGAATGTGCAAATTTTGAGAGTAGTAGGTAATTCATGTGTAAGAATTCTCATTTCAATATAGAAAATGACATGTTTTATCATATTTATGGTTGTATTTTTCAAAAAAAACAGAAAAATTTTGTTTGATTCAATTATTTCCAACTTTGAAACATAAGGGGAGGCAACTCAAATGTAAGGGCAGATAATTCAGGTAAAGGTACTTTTACAATAGAATGTGTTAGGAATTTACCTATTTTATTATGTAGCAAGAAAACGGGTCCGGTGACCCCATTTTTTCTTTTTCTTATCTGAAAGCATACTATTAAAGCTATCTTCTCATATTTTATCTCAAAATTCTATGGTGTAGTTTTCGTTTTATGGCAGAAAATTGGGTTTTCCATGCATAATCTATACAAAATCTGTTAATTTTGAACAACCTGTAGCGTGAAAATAAGCCCCGTGACCCATTCTTTTTATCATTTTTTTTTTAAAAAGCTTGATATAAACTACATTTTGGCAAATTATTTAAAAATTCTATGGATTATAATTTAGACACCCCATCTACCTTAAGTGTCGCGTGTAAAATAGCGCTAAATTAAAAAAATTACATCAGAGAGATAGAGAGAGAGAGATGATTTACGATTAAGTAAAAATTTATTTCAGAATGATGAACAAATGTAATTTAACTGAACTAAATTGACTGTTTATCAGGTATCGCTCCAACTACAGTAGCCTGTTAATTATGAACGCCTATCAGATACATGAATTATACGAATAAACGAGAATTCCTGTAAAACGAATCACTTGTCAATAATTTTCTTCGTCTAAATCGTGTTTTTTGCGGAACAAGATAACTTATACTGGTGTCATTAGGGATTTGTTGTCGTAATTCCTTAATTAGGCAATGCACGTAATACTTAACACAATGTCAAGAGAAGAAATTTTCTCTAATTTGTAACTTTCGCAGCTTATGAGGTTTTATCCACGTTTGATGTGTTTCTTGTTTTTCAATAAATCTTTCTCGATATTGCTTGCTCAAGAATGTAGGAATAACGTTAATGCAAAATCGATTGCAATTTCGTAACAATCTTTTTTTAAGGATTTGATGCTTTTAGGAGATTGAAAGTCGATCGGCTTGGGACATATGTCGACTGAGAAAAAGATTTGATATACAGGTTTAAATAAATCTCTAGCGTGACATTTACTTAACAGACAAGCGTTGTTGTTCAGGAACATTTCAATTACTTAGAAATGGCGCCTTTATTTAATTGAATTGTGAAGCTACAGCAGTTACACTATTCATTATATACTCTAATATGATTGAAATGTCACGGAGGAGTTTCTATGAGTTGGTGCAGATAATTTAATATAAGGTATTACAGTTCAAAATCAACTAACGCCATTACTTAAAGGTCAAATATTCTTTCTCAAAGACTTGTTCAAACGTCAGACATTTTTGTCTATAAAAAAGAGTTTGACGAGCGTGTATTCAAGTTATGTTGTTGATGAAATTATCAGTCAAACTGTATTTTTTTCTGAGTTATTACCGTTTTATCAAGCCAATTCATCTATAAGAGTAATCACATTCTTAAAATTTGTTTACTGAATATTCACATGTTTATTAAAACCCTCAAAGAATCACATCTTTCATTAAGACCCGTTTAGTTTATTTTCCCTTTTATAAAACTACGTACTTGCCTTTGTTAATAAAGTAAACTTATTGTTTTTCTTTCACCAGGTATTACAAGAGGACAACTATCAACTGACGATACGCAATTTGAATCCTCAAGTATAAGAGGTAAACGAACAATTGACAATGTTGTTCCAACAACAACTCGTTCAATGTTACCACACACATTTTTAACTTCAAACATCGAGCGTCAGACGCATCTTGAGGAGCTTAAGTCAACAAAAACAACTCTGGCAATGCCACTTCCGTCATCTACAATAAACATTTTTAATACACCCGGGGAACTAAACGCAACAACGATAAATAACAGAACAAACTCATTAATAGATTTAGTAGATCATTCTTCACAGATATCCTCCCACATGTTAACATCGCCAGTTATCCCATCAAACAATGAACCTGTTTCAAAAACTTCCACTATCAATCATAGCTCTTCAGTGACAAAACCGACAATTTTATCTGAAGAAAGTTTATCGGTGCAAAATGTATCTATTTACAACACGCCGAACATTTCGTCTGAAATACACAAAGAGACGACACACGCACATGTGTTACAAACGTCTACACGAGCACATGTTTTACAAACAACGACACGAGCACATGTGCTACAAACGACGACACAGGCACATGTGTTACAAACGTCGTTCAAGTCAGAGATTACGACAAGGCCGTTTCGGAATATTGACCGACCATCAAAGTCGTCAACTGAATTAATCAGTTCATTAGTTATCACGAGTGACAAAGGCGAAGATTTCACAAATGTGATAGGATTTTCTCCAGTGACATCACATTTAGAAACACAAGTGACTACAAAGAGTCATCTGTTATCTTCTACAGCTGCCCAGGCTATGGCAACGACTTCAATACATTTAAAAACTCAGAAGTTAAGACAACAGAGTGATTTTACATCAACAAGCGTGCCTATTGCATCTGTATCTTCAGTCGACATGACTCTCCAAAGTACACAAGCTACTGTTTCCTCACATTTAAGTTCTAAAAGTCACCTAAGTTTAATGTCTTTGTCATCCGTTGCCGCAATAAAAATGTTTTCAACCTCAATCATTACAAACGTTCCAACCAGCCAAACATCACTGATTCATTTAAGCTTTCCTAATAGTACTGTTAGTAAAACTATTCTTGGATCAACTATATCCAATTTATTAAACGTGTCGCATGCATCTTCCATATTTTCACATGGGCACATTACTATTCAACTTTCTTTGTCTTCACAATATCAGCAAATGACAACTTCTATAAACGAAAGAGTTAAAGCAACTGTAAAACCAAACTCACACAAGAAGACATTATACAATTTCAGTTTTGAAATTGAGTTTACCGGTGAATGTAAATCGTTAGAAAATAAAGAGGCATTGAAGGAAATTTGGGGCAGTCTGGTGAACATCGTTGTTGTTCAGTCAGGCACAAAAAAAATGAGTGTGGTACCGATAAATATATTATGTGGGCCTCTGCGTCTGTCATTTAATGTATATAACACAACACATAAAAACTTAACAGAAATTATTCGGACGATGATAAAAGATAACAACTTTGTCATAACAGTTCTCGCTGATAATAATAGAATGAATTTCAAAGCTATCAGAATATATCTATATACAGATCATGAAATTGGGTCAGAAATTTTCCTGATGGGATTAAACGAAGTTGATATCATTGTGATAATCTGCGCTACTGCCATCTCAGTTATTCTTGTATGTGCCGGACTAATAATTTGTGCCCGGGAATATTATCTTAAGAAAAGGTCACGATCTTTTACATTGTCATCATTCATGTCAAATGGATCAAATTCGTATGACTACACTCTTACAAAAATCCCGCGTCCAAATAGTTCTTACTCGGAGAACGGTGTCAGAATGAAATTGATGGATCATAAGGATAATCAGCGAGCGGCATTGCTTCCAATTGAAGAACAGGAAACTTCAGTGAGCGACATTCAGATAAGGGTGAACTCGAATGAGGATGGAATAGTTGTTGGCGTTACAGGAACCGGAACTAATACTCAATGTTATGAACAGTCACATGACAGTTCTAGTATTAACGGGGATCAGTCAGAAGAAAAATTATGCTCTAAAACAGAAGAACTTGATAAAAGTGTGGATAATCCTATATATTTTGCTGACGATGAGAGATTTATGAAAATATAATGTTATTAGGAATCAGCGGAAGAATGTACTTAGAATCCGAATGTGATACTTTCAGAATTTATGGATATGTTCTCGGATTGTGAATAAAAAATTTGAACGTTTATTTAATTATTTAAATGCACGAATGAATAAATGTTAGTATTAAAGTGTTAAAGAAGAAAAAAGACACGTGTAACTTTATACAAATGTGATTGATATTAATATGCCAGTCCTGGTAAAAATGAAACAAATGAAAATAAAACAAAGAATAGCATTACCTATGCTTATGTATCAAAAGAACTACTTCTAAAAACTTATAAAATCTACGTTAAAAGTCACAAGGGAAACCCTAATTTATTATGATTTTCAAAACGAGGTCAACAAATAAAGGAACTACAAGTTTAAACCATTGTCGTGACGTCAGCCTATTCATTTACCTTCGATTATTTTTCTAGAATCAACGCTTCCTAAATCTGTCTCTGAATTGAGCTCAACAAATTATATTCAATTGTTTCCTTTATGTGCCTAATTTTATTAAGTTTGAATTTGCAAATTTACTGATTTCTGTTCACTAATGGAATTAATTTAAAAACTTACCTTTATTTTGGTAATTTTAATATGCCTTCAATGGGAATCGAACCCCTCCTTGAAATCTGTTATGTGTGCCTGACATCAACGAAACCTCTCGGCTACCAATGGGTTTCAAATAGACGTGTTACGAAAAGGTATATACTCGACGCTGAGATTGACAAATTAGACTTTAAATATGGGGACTGTGTCAAAACACTTATTATCGATTTAAACCGGCAAAATGCGTGATGTTGACCAGCTATCCTACACTTAAATTATATTACTTTAGAACATCTTGTTTTACCTCGAACATGTTAATTTTTTTAATGATATAATTGCTTGTGATTATAAAAAAAATTATGACGACAGAGATGTACGTGTATATGCGTGTGGGCGGGAAATGGGGGGGGGGGGGGGGATATTGGTATTGCAAATATTCACTTCTAAATTGATAAAATTTACATAGTAAGTCAGTTTGAAATGTTTGATCGCAGTTTTTTGAAGTTTAATGTGTCACTCCACTAAACCCGCACATAGCACTGGAGTCTGGTAATTTTTGTTTTTTCTCTCATATTTCTCCATAGGCTTCCAATGACTTTTAAAATCTTTAAGGGCCTACACTCCGATAATAATTTAATCTTTCTGCTCTTGGTTTGGCTCTAAGTTTTTTAATTTTACATGAAAATAGTATTTGTCTTTAGTCTTTATATTAGTTTTATGCTTCGTGCCGATCGTATGAGTCAGTTCATTTCCAACCAATGTTTACAGTTTGATCTTACGTTGTGCTGTCACACCACTGCACTAGGTTAGGTGAGGGATGCATTACCATGTTTAACCCAGCAACAAACTGTTATTCAGTCGTAGTCGTGAGTTGGTGTCTGATATTTGTTTTCAGTTTATTTTTTTGTCATAAATCAGGCCGTTTGTTTTTTCGTATTTTTGGCCTTTATAACTTTTATTGTTGAAGGTTGAACGATGACCTTTAATTGCTTTAATAAGCTTTATTTGGACTCTGTTGGACAATTATCTAATTGGCAATCATACCACATCTCCTTATTTCATATATAAAAAATGACAATGACAGGATATGGCTTCTTCCAATTTTTTAACGCTTACGTCTGGGCTCAGGATGGCCAAACCGGGTGAAACAGATTTAGAGAAAAAGGCCAAAGACAAATATCGACCAAGAAGAAGGGAAATTAATAAACAAAGACAAACCAAGACATATAAACTGACAATTCCACACTGAAACGAGAGACACATGAGAAAAACTGACCTCGTAAAAACTGGAACAGACATTCTCAGATATTCTCTGAAACTGCAATGCACCAATATAAAAAAGAAGATGTGGTATGATTGCCAATGTGACAACTCTCCACAAGAGACCAAATGACACAGAAATTAACAGCTATAGGTCACCGTACGGCCTTCAACAATGAGCAAAGCCCCGCATAGTCAGCTATAAAAGGCCCTGAAATCAAAAATGTAAAACAATTCAAACGAGAAACCTAACGGCCTAATTAATGTACAAAAAATCAACCAAAAACAAATAAGTAACACAGCAACAAACGACAACCACTGAATTACAGGCTCCTGACTTCGGACAGGCACATACATACAGAATGTGGCGGGGTTAAACATGTTAGCGGGATCCCAACCCTCCCCCTCACCTGGGACAGTGGTGTAACAGTACAACATACGAACTAACTATAAAAATCAGTTGAAAAAGGCTTAACTCAGATGGATACAAATAGAAATACATATAACAAAAATACCGAGTGGACGTGAACGGGTACTTGTACATCCCAACAATAAAAAGACATTAAGTACAGATCTGAGGGTACTCGCAGTTACTGACAGCTAGTTAAAGCCAATAACAACTAATAAAAAAATTCATGCATCTAAGACTAAATTATCAATCAGTACACATCCAACATCCAATGGATTTATTGCGAAGACGTCATAAACAGTCAGAGAAAAACATATTACGACATACGGCAATGCCAAGATACAGGAGTCGACAGATTGTAGATCCATGAAAGTGCATATTATGTATATAACAATAATATTTAGTTTGCTTTTAATTTACTGATAATAAAATCAATATTAATACCAATAAGAACAATATTCAAAGATCTAGTGACAGTGTTGAATTGGTAACCTTTTAGAATAAGTTTATTTAAAGGATCGATAAGTTTACCAGGATCGTTTCTAAATTTCCGAGTACGGTAAACAACATCTCCGTAAAAATGAGGATGTGCTATCCCGTTTGAGATAAGTTTTCTACAGGTACAACCGAACTTCAAAACCAAATCTTTATATCTATGGAAGAATTTAGTAAAAGTTTTAAGTAATTTGTGGTAACGAAATCCCTGACTTGATAATTTACCAGTAATACATAGATTACGTTCCTTAAAATCTAAAACGTCACAATAGACCCGGGCATATCGAACGATTTGTGAAATATAAACACCATAATATGGTGCCAAAGAAACATCACCATCCAAAAAAGGAAAATTAACAATATGGAACGAAAAATCGTCCCTTTTGTCGTCAATTTTAGTGCGAAATTTCCCGTGTAAAACTGAAACATCTCAATCTAGGAAAGGACAGTTATTAGCGTTTACATTTGATTTATTTAAAGTAAGTTCCTTAGGGTAAATTTCGGCAGTATATTTAGAAAATTATTGATTATTTAACGAAAAAATATCATCAAGATATCGGTGTTGTTGAATTTATCAATTAAATGCAATTTAGACGGGTCTTTACTGAGTTCGGTCATAAACTGTGATTCATAACAGTACAAAAACAAGTCTGCTATTAAAGGGGCGCAATTAGTGCCCATAGGAATACCTGCAATCTGTCGATAACTTTGTTGCTGAAACGTACATAAATAATATCAAGGAGAAACTTAACAGCTTCAATCATCTCATCACACCTCCAGTAAGTATATCTAGCATATTTACCTTTCTCAGTTTGAGAACACGGATCCCGCAAAACCTGGAATGGAGTTCTAAAATATTCTCTGCAATGCTCAATATTTCACGTTTAAACTGGATATGTATAGTAGGTCCTTATACCAAAATATATATGCTAGCAGAGATATGATTTACATATACTCAATTCTTTCTTGTTATGAACATATGTAGTTAATGGAAACAAACATTGCAGATATATTCCCGAGTGGGTATTCAACAGGTTATTATATGTTCATTTTAACCGAAAAATCACGAAGTTTCAACCTCTTCGCAAAATATTTCCAAAATGAATTAAATAAAGGCGGGTGGGCATGTTCTGCATGTGAATATATTACATTTATTGTGCAAAGTTTCAAAGCCGTTAGGTTAAAAACTGTGGAAGGAGTTTATCACACAAAATGGATACCCTCTTTTACCGTTCGCCTCAATGCCTATCGGCCCACCCGCAAGATCTACATGTACTTTCATAATAACATATACTAGTAATAAGTTTTGCATCTTTTGTAACCCGTTCAAAATTTTGTCCTCTAGTTAACACCTCTTAAAATGAAAAGGTACGCCTTAACTGATTTGGAAAACGCATAAATTAAAAATACCAAGTACAATGTATTATAGTTTCTACGATTTACAAGGGTGGGCAGGATTTTGTTCTCTTTTCACTGACTCCTTTCTCTCGGCGTCCCGTCTCTCCTTTCTTAAGGACATATTTCTTTTATACGATCCGCTTTCCCACTGTCAGTGTTCCAAATGGAAAAAAAATAGTTTGAAATATATAATATGCATCCTCAAGAAATAAATGTCATGGATTAATCTTTCCATAAAAAATATTTATAATGAAGTTGTCTATAATAATATTTCCATGGGGACATCTGTTATAACAACTATACGTTGATATCAGAACTGTGCAGTTAAAACACAAGATTCAGTTTGTACACAGGTAATTCAAATCAAATCAAATGTCTGCTTTGATACGATACCCACATTTAAAGTCTAATTTTTCAACCTCAGCGTCGAGCATATACCTTTTCCTAACACGTCTATTAAGAAGTCTATTTTATATATATATAAAAATGAACATATGATACACATCGGTACAATGGACACACAGGGCTTTTACCTTTATATGATAGGCAATCGTATAATATAAGTTGGAAGCAGCTAGGTTAACATGGTTAAGATCAATGAGCTAAAGAGCCAAGTTAAAGGTAGAGACTTGTTGGTTTAGGTTCGAATCCCTGAAATCTCTTTGTTGTCCGTATTCTTTAGTTTTTTTCCGTCTTTCTTATTTTGTATGTTATTGTGAATACTTTTGTAATAATAACGGGTTTCCCCGTATTTTTTTTAATTATTATTGGCTATTTCACGTATTCGAAAAGAAAATGATTATATTCAACTAGTCTATTTTTGTTTTATAAATATAGTATGATTTAATCTGGTTCACTACATATCTTTACAAATGTTTATGCGAGTAAATCGTGATGTTCCTAGAATTATGCTTCTTCCTAGGAATTTTGGTAACATACTTATTATTTATACTTAGAAATAAGTCCGAATATGTCTTATTATGTAAATTACG